TCAAATCTAAAATTGAAGAGATGATTCTCACGATGCCCCAAAGGATCAATGAACTCCACCAAGTGAAAGGAAGATCTACTAAATATTAATTAAATGATAACTATATCAATTCATGTGAATATGACTGAAAAATTTCATTTTTTCTGAAAAGATGGTGTCTATTTACTTGTGAACACGCTGTGTGTATATGGGTAGCCACATATACTTTTGTCAGAACAACAGTCTGTTAAATAACCTGCCTGACTAATATGAGATACCAACATAATAATAATAAAAAAAACAAGAAGAGATTTCATCATCAAAACATTAATACACTTATTGTTACCTTCACAGCATGGACATATTAATTCATTGATATCAAGAAGTGAATAATTAAATTATTTCATCACACAAAACAAGGAATTTTTCTCACCTGACAGGCAACTTGCCAAGCCATACCAGACAACTCTTTCAATCTGTACAACCTATTAGAGACTGTATGTTTAAGATTAATAGGCTTTTTTACCCAACAGGTGCCCATCTCCCAAAGTAAATAAACAAATATCTTAATTAAATTTCATTGAAATTTTATCATGTTGGTACCTGCTGATTTTTCAGTTTATTTCATATTAATGTAAAATTGTAATGTGATTAAAATATTCTTTATTTGTAATCATCACTAACTTTCTATAATTCACAAACTATAATTTTAACTATACGTGTCGGTAAAACACAATACTTTCATGCAAAATAAAAAGAAGCCTCCTAATACTCACAAATAAGTTATGACCCTACTTTTGGTCAAAGATATCATTAAAGTATCAGGTTGCAATGAATTTAACTGTGTTAGTATAATTTTTCTTCTTTCTGAATTTTAAAGCTTTTTTGTATTTGAAATCTAACCTTTCTCTACAGTCACTTCTGATAATTTGAAACGTTTATTTTCTCAAATTTTGACACTGCAACTTTACTGAATACAAAAAAAGAAATGCTCAATGAAAAACAAAAAGTCTAAACTCAAAGCTTGTACATTAAAAAATCATAGCATCCTATTAAAAAAGAATAAAAATCATAATCACAAATTCATACATCTACAAACTGTGATCTGTGCAAACCAAAATATATACTGAGGTCTCATGAATCTAGATATTTGCTGAATTATATATTTTTACTTTCCTAGATTTAAGTAGGTGAGAATCATTCATGAAACTTATCATGTCACTGTTTAAAACATTTCTTGAGTCAGTAATGGCAGTGATAATTTGAAAAGTAATCCAGTCACTGTTGATTAAAGTATTGTTTTCACTACTTTAATCTTCCTGAAAGCTCTTTCAACTTTAGCAGAAGTGAGTAAGTGAGACATTCATGAGAATTACCAGGTCTGTGTATAAATTCATTTATGTTTTGTTAATACATGAGTACAGAATAAACACTTAATAAGTTCGAAAGGGCTAAGACACATAGCATGCAACATTAGTAATATCTCTGATGTTTCTTTTTGCCAAATGGTTTCACATTCAATTTGGCAAACCAAACACCACATGATGAGGGAAAATTTTCATACTTGTTTCTTGATTATTATTGATTTTTTGAAATCCTGAACTAGTACTGAAAAGTCCTTGACTATAATCAGTATTGTTGGCTAAATAAAAAAAAATTTAAAAGGAAGGTAAAAAATGGAGGTCAAATTTTGTTTTTACCAAATGATTTTGCATTCAGTAAAAACAAGCTCCTTACTACGCAGTAATAGCTTGCTTTGAAATTCCATTTGGGCTTTCAAAATCCTCAACAACAAACGTTAATAAAAAACCTCTTTGATAAAATTTCAGCTACAGGTTAGATGAAAAACAATGCAATAATAAATGATAATCAAAAATATTTAACATTCAGTAAAGTAAATATTGCACTATTTGGAAAAGATTTAAAGTTTAAAAGAACAGCAGATAATAATGCAATGTGAAGTTTCTTGTTATTGTAGGATAGTTTTATATTCAATAAACCATGTAAACCACATGCTACACCATTCAGAACAACTTAAAATTTATCTCTTGATTCTTGTTGTATTCTTAAAAACAATAAATGTTTTAATCCAGTTTCACTTTGCACTTTCTTTTTTTTGGGGGTTCTGAAAAAGGCCTTTATTTCATACTAACTTGTTGTTTTGGCAGAGAGATCCTTTAGTTAAGTCTGGTCTCCTATTTGGTAGCATTAGTTGGTAGGTTTATCAGGGAAAACACTAACAGGAGGACCACATGAAGGTTGTTACCATCCTCTATTTCTTTTTCTAACACTCCATACAGAGAAGAATTTTACACAACTGATACCCAAATATTTTTCAATTACTGGTTAAAATTACATCATTCTTATTACCCACATGTTTTCATAACATTCACCTTACATACCTATATCAAAATTCTCCATGGTTTCCTTGAACATGTCTTCATCAAAAATAAATTTAAGAAGATCTTGGGTTGGCTTGTCCAAAGAAGAGGGCTTATACTTCTTAGCTGGTGACAAGTTATCCAACATTTGGGCCTAACAAGATCAAAATATTGATTTTTGTGAAATTAAAAACCTCATTGATTAAAAACTAAATAAACGTATACAAATATCATATATGAATAAAAATATTTTATCTCTGTTATAATTATAAACACATTTTAATGAAACAGAGGATTAAAAAAGGAGTGTCTGAGAAGACTGATCAAATGTCATTCTCGACCATTCTGCAAATTTTTTCCCATAAAATATCCTCACTGTTGCCTATCAAAAAAAAGGCTTTCTACTCACACACAATCTCTTGTAGCATTTACAATAATAAACATAATTCTTTTACGACATCTGGAGTTTGTCAATAAATATCAGTTTTCTAGTTCAAATCTTAGCTATTTCCTTGCATATTCTTGTTAAACTAATTACACATAACTCAAAACTATCAAATTTAGTCAATAAGGTAAACAACAATGGTCATAAATATATATATCCAAATACACACTCTCACACACATAATTACAAACCTTTTTTGTAGGATAACTTTGCATATTGTGACAGTTTGACAAAGAAGTAATCTGTACAGAGTTTAAACCTAAATAGCACAGTACAAAGAGAATTAATAAAAAAGTAGGGTTTTGAGTTCAATTTCTTAAAAGACTATTGATCACCCAACACTTGAGGGTCACTTGATTTTGGTACATGGTAAATACAAAACATCTGTGTATGTTAAACAATTTGACTCATTTAATCCTTTTTTTTTCTACCTATTTACCTTCTAATTCAAATTTCATATTTATTTTGAATACATTAGTTCAAACATCTGAGTTTATTTTTGAAATTATGACTTATAGTATTAGATATTTTTATGCAAAAAAAATTTAATAGGCAAAGTATACAAGTATCCATAATAAATATATATATACATACGTATATATAAGTAAGTTTATGTCTGTCAATAAATACACTGTCCTAAAATAATGACACTTTAAATTCAATAAGTAATTATTTATTAGTTATTACCATATGGCTTTGTTAAATAACATGTTATATGTTAGATTTTGAATCTTTAATAAAACGTAAGGCACTGAATTATCTTAACATTTTTATAAGCAGGGGTGTATTGTTACTGGAATGTACCATAGCACTGTTTCAGCACATGAAATTGGAGCCGAGTCCTGATACTTCAAAAACTAAACATGTGTAGGTGAAAAAAGTTATTCAATTTACACCTGAAATGAATGTTTTTCATAACCAAACACTTATCCAATGGTTGCTTTTTTTTTAGATATTCATGTTGGCAGGATAGCAGGTATGTAAGGCATTATAAAAATCAAGGTTGTCAATATTATAGTGTAATTATAAAGATAGTAAATTAACAAGATATGTGATTTTAAAACTTGTTTTAATGTTAGTGATTTTATTTGGTACACAGCTGTTTTTTTTTTGCCTTGCTGCTTAATTTAAAGCAAGGTGAGTTGCATATTTTCTCTCACTACTATATATATATTCATTTTGGTTTTAATATAAGTAATCTCAAATAATTAATGTTAAGTGTATTTTCTTTATTTGAAATAGACTACAAAAAAATTAAAATTAGCCATTGAGCTCTATATCCTTATGGTGATATCACACATCTGACAAATTTTGGCAAGGCTCTGGCACAGAAAAATTTAGCACAACACCACTGTTTATAATGAAATGTTTGGTGAGCTGATGTAAATTTTTCATACAATATATACATATATATATATATATCCATTTTTGAACAAACTAATCCTTATTTATTTTACTTTCTCAATATTGTTATTTTAATAGTGTATTTCAGAAAATGGCAGTAGTTTTGTACTGAATTAACCTGCTGCTTTAATTTTTCTTCATCATCCTCTGTTTCTTCTGAATCCATTTCCAAAAGTGTGTACTTTCCTGGATGTGGCACAAAGTTGTCCCGATTTTCCCACTTGTTTCTTGTCTTATCTTGGAATTTCTTTTTAAAGTCCAACTTTGCAGATTCCAGACTAGTCATTGGTCCTCGTAAGGCACTCAGACCTGGCTCTCCCTACAAGGAAAAAAAGGATTGTTAAATGCATATAATAAAATGGGGCTGACTCTGATAATCAGTGATGCTAATTATATTTTCCTACTAGTAATTGAAACATACTTATTTAAAATATCAAGAAGTAACTTATACCATCTTTGATATGACAAGAGACTTTTTTGCAGTTATCTATAACTGTATTTAAATCAACTGGATTAACGTCTTCATTCTGATATTTTCCCATAATTGATAATCTCCCCATGAAACTGTTACTTTTTTTTACATAACTGTGTTTAGTTTAAGATTTTAGATTTATAAACCTTAAATATATCATAAATTGATTATCTTTACATATTTTTGGCCAAAATACTTTAAAGTTAGAAATATGGCAACTTCTACTTGTATAAAATAGATTAAAACAATATAGTTGTTCAAGTGACATTATCTTGCCAAAGAAATGCTGCTCTTTCCAGAAAAGCTCAATGAAAGCCTAATAGTGATAGCTCCAACTGTTTTGCAAACATAAAATTTTCTTACATCTGCTGAAGAAAGCCTTGTCTCTTTTTCTTCTAACAAACAGTTACAGTCCATTAAAGTTCTCAAACCCACTTTGCCTACCCAGCCTAAAGTTCCACTGAAACAATATATCTGCAGCATATTGCTGACAAGTTTTACCAAAAATGATTCCTTCGTACTTCAGTCATAACTGTGTTGAAGAAAAATTATCTGAAATATCTAATTACTTTTAAAAATTATTCTATTACCTTCTCATTAATGACTATTTACATAATTTTGGTCTATTTTGAACTACAGATTCCAAAAAATTGCCTATTTTTTTCTTCACAATTAATAATTTGGTTTAAACAGCAACCAGTAGCTTAAAGCCACAGAGAAATTTTACACAACCTATTTCTAACTGTACTCTTGTATCCATATGTCTATAATAATAATATTCAAATTTTTATAAGGCTTTGATATATAATCCTTGTAACTGACTGAACAAAAGGTTTTGAAAATAGGGTATAAAAAGTACATTTCAGCAACTAAATCATGCATATGTTATTTATCTTAAAAAGCTTAGTAACAAAAATAAAATTTACCACTCGTCCCCATCTGTTCCATACATAATAAGATTTGGCAGTTTTATTTTTTAGAAGTTGAATAACATAGTATTTGTTGTTGTTATTTCCAATATTTGTCTGATTCAACATACAGTCAAAGTCTTCAAATACCTATAAAAATAATTATTTGATTAGTACTATGCATGAGGATATTTATTTTAACACGATTTATATGTTTACAAAATTCAAACAATTCTAAGCTTTAACTCTCTTGAATGCATCTGTAATTTTACTGACTTTATTTGACAATAAGAAATACACCTTTAACCGTTTAAAAAGTCCTTACACAAGCATTATAGTAAATAATAAAACTGTGAAAAAAACAAACCAAAACTGTCAAATATAAAAATTGATGATTTGCACTCACAGTCATTACATAAGTCATAAATATCAATATCTAATTCTTTTCAGCTTCAGTAGTAGAATAATACAAGAAAATTTAGTTTAAAACGTAAATAACTTTTACATACAAATGTCATATATTATAAACACAAACAGAAATCTAACTAAATCACTTACATGTATCTACACATAAGACGTCACATCAAAAGCATATGTTTTGCACTAATTTTAAAACAAAACATCAATATCACAACACAGTAATTTATCTTTCTTTGACTGAACATTTTTCATATGTTAATTTCTAGTATATTAACCCTTATTTCTGAAATATTAAAATCCACTTTAATGTTCGGACCATGTTAAACCTGTAGAACTGTGAAGAAGCTATGTTTTACTTATACATCTACAATGGCTCTACTAAATAATAACTACTTTACATAACACAATGGTCTGTGGTCAAATATAATAGCATTTTTCACATACCAATATCAGAATCCATGGTACATGTGTACAGTTTTAAGGTAAAAGGTCTGTAATAAAAATCATGGATTTGGTTAGCAATAATGAAATGAATACTCTATCATACCTCAACATTTGTTGATACTGGACAATACTCATCTGGCTTTGATTTTCCTTTTTTGGAGGGCTCATTCTTTAGATTTTCAAAAACCTTTCGAATTTTTGTGCCTTCACTATCTTCCTTTTTAAGCTTAGCTGGGGGTTCATCTGCTTTATCTGCAATATGTATATATATGTACTACTCTCCCAAATATATGCTAAAGTTTAAAGTAAAGGAAAAAAATTTAATTACAATAACGAAAAAGTTGGTACGTCATATTCCAAAAATTTCAATAACTCCAGCACTGTTTTTTATAGATGGACCTACCTTTACTCAAGTGAAGACAAGCTCACCTGTTGAAAGTGCTAAGATTTATTGTTTTTTTTTAAATATAATGTACCACTATTAATAATTTACATTATTATACTAAAAATCTCATAAAAGGCGCAAAATAAAAAAGTAACAGACATATACTGTATGTCGTCAAATACTGCTGCTGAGGTAATTATGCAAGCACATATGCTCAGAATCTAATAACAGCATGTAGTGTGCAAATTTGTATGTGTTCTGCCGATTATTTATTTGTAAATACATACATTCAGGCTTTATGAAATATATATAGTAATTTGCTGATAACATGCTTTATGTATATAGATTCAAAATTTGTTGATAATATTTAATAGGCTGAAATACATAAATTTAGTGGTGATATGCATTACATATGTTCATAATCTGTTGTTTTGGTTCTGTTGCATAATACATGTGCAATGGTGACAGTACATGGGGAGTCATTTTGGGGCTCAAGCTACCCCAAAATATACCTTAGCCTCCTCTGTAGGTCCCACATCCACCAAAAAGTGCTTACTATTAAAGCTGATGCACTTACTATATACTACAGATGCAGAGTGCAGCCTCCTCAATGTCTAGCCCACCTCAGCCCCTTCACCAGGAAGAGACTGGTGTCACCCCTGTATATGTACATAAAAGTACTTGAAAGAAATTATATAATGTTAATTTGTTCAATAAATTTTAAATTCATGACAATTCTTGAAGCAAAGGTAAGGCATACTGTATTCTTTCTTTAATGTTGCTTTTATTAAAAGTATTGCTTAGAATGTTTAGTATATCCAGTTTTAGTATTTTTAACTTTTTTATTACACATTTATCACAGAGGTTATTTTGCATTGTTAGCTTAGTATATATTTTTAGTATGGACTAACTAAATCTCCTAAGCTGGCTGAACCTTGTGAGATATTACTGGGTTTATAGCCAAAAATATCATTCACAGTGAGGGTACCCAGCTGATGGAACAAAAGCATTCTAATCTTTGTAAGTAAAAACATTAGAAAAGTGTACTTAACTAGCTATAGCTTAATTTATTTTTATTTTTCATATAAGTAGGTAACATGCCCTGATTGGTAGTTAATATTAATTATTTTGCTAAAAGAGCTTCCTATATAATATTGTTGCTTTTGTTGGCATTTATTTCCACTAATATACAAAAAAGAATCTAAAAGAAAACAATGCTGACAATTTTAAATTCACTTATGTATGTTTGTAGAAAACAAAATATATATGCTGTACAGATCTTTGTTGTATTATATACAATTAAACTTCAGTTTTTATTAAAGTATAATATTGTTCAAGCATAACTACCAAACTTTAGATAGACTTCCACATTGTAATACAAAATCTGTCTTAAATAGCTTGTAAGGTAAGACACTGGATGTAAGCAAGAAATACCAGAAATTGCTAATTCAGTTTTCTTGTCAAATATTCATATAATTATATATCCACTGATCCATATATGAATGTAATTCTCAATACAAACAGTATTAATTAATATAATATTTAAAATTGGCAAATAATAAAGATAGGAGAAATAGTAAGTGAATTATATTGCTTACTGTCATGATCTTGTAGTCTTTTCACTAAAACATCTTTCGTGCCTGTTGAATCCACATTCCGTTGCTTACACATTTTCTTCAAATCAATGATCTTCAACTTTGTCCAGTCTTGACTTGAAATAATTGAATCACTCATACTTGAATCAATCTTTGCCACAGTTTTTAGGTTGGCAGATTTGCTCTTCCTTGGTGCCATTTTACTTTATATAACGATATTAATAAAGTTATTCATGAATACATATA